GGCCAACACTGATTTTGGTGCGGCGAATGTCAGACCTGTTTTTGATATGTTTTTTCATGCTGAACACAAATCCGTAAACCTTCCACTTGGGCTTAAATTGAGGCTTAATGTTTCAACTATTATTCCCCAAAAATGACCTATGTTGCACCATAATCTCAAAGTCATTTGTTATCATTTTTGATTCGCAAATATTAATTTTGTAAAAGTTTGAGCGCGTACCTTTAGCAAAGAAAAAAGGATCATAGAACCTTTTATTTGAACTTGAAATAAAGTTTGAACTTTAGACTACAAGCCCTAAAAATTATATTATTCACTAATAACCTCAAAATTGTTGGTAACCAGTATTTAACTACAGAACTTATTTGGTAATATTTGAATAACTCTAGTCAATAAAACCAAAGGTGAGTGAACCTTCTTGCTGAGCTTCAATTCAATTTATCCTTTGACTGTAGTTCATAAAAATTACATTGCTGCACCTTAACCTCAAGGACTAGATGTACGCGCTCAAACTTTTACAAAATTAATATTTCGGAATCAAAAATGGATAACAAATGACTTTGAGGTTATGTTGCAAGATATTAGGTCATTTTTGGGGATAATAGTTAAAAAATTAAGCTTCAAATTAATCCCAAGTGGAAGGTTCTACGACCTTTTGTTTCAGTGTTAGAGGTACTCAAAGTTAGCCAAAAACGCGATTTTTGAACATTTTATAACCGTTTTTCTCAAAAACTAGAGCTGATAGGAAATTTTCGTTTACGGATTCGTGTTCGGCATGAGAAAACCTATCAGAAACAGGTCTGACATTTGCCGCACCAAAAAAGTTTGCTAATTTTGTTGGCATGTGTTTATCAGTTGCTCAATTCTCGCTATGGAAATTAGTAGATTTCTACTGCTAATCAGTGAAATATGACTGATTCAGATTTATAGACAGGGCACCTTATTTAACACTAATAGCATAAAAAAAATAAATGTTTAATTATAATAAAATGAAAAGTTATACATTTTCGGTTTGTTTACATTTCACAATTTGCACATAACCCTTAATTTAATATAAAATTAAATTTGAAATAATTGAAATTTATGATAAAATTTGTTTGTTTCCTGTATTTAAAAACAGTCCAATCGGCGTTTTCTTTGATATGCGCATACTCGAATCAATAAAGCGAATAAAATCCTAAGCTAAACATTTATAATGTTACGCATGTGTCTCGTCTAGACATGACATTTTATCTTTGTATTTGTCAGCTGGTGGATCGAAATGTAAAGGACAAGGTGAAGGTCAGGGGTAGTTTGTTAGTTAAAGAAAATCTCACTAGAGGGCAACTATATATATATATAGACTATTTAAAAAAAATAAGAGAAAAATTCTCATCAAGGACTTTCTTTTCTTTCTTTATATTTTTAAATTATATAGACTTTATTATAGAGGACAAAATGCAGTTACAGTGTAAAAAAAAAGAATAAGAAAATATTGGCGCCGAAGTTATAGAATGCGTGTGTATGCAAGGTTTATATATGTGTGTGTGTGCGTGTATTATACTTGAGGCAACGGAAACGCATGGAACTTTCCAGAACTCAAGTGGGAGTGAGACACCCAGGAGGCAAGAAAAGCAAAGAATTTCATGTGTGTGGGAGAGAGAAGGAGAGGAAATCAGAGACCCGGTTGCTACGCCGGTGTCTCGCGAGGAACCCACTCTGTTTTTTTTTTTTTTTTTAAAACTATTTTGAGAGAGAGATAGTCAGTTTGATCATTGCAAAAGTAATTGTCCTAGTCCAGTATTGTCACAATCTGCACTGTTGGAAAAATCAACATTAAATTTATTTAAATTTTATTTTTTAATGTAATAATTTCTAACAATAATAGATAATAATTAACGAATAATAATAAAATAATTTTATATTTATTACATTTAATATACATCTAAAAATGTAAGTTAAAATTCAATAAAAATATTTTAAATTTAATGTAAAAATATATTAAATTTATTAAAAAGTATATTAAATTTTAATACAGGTTGTGCATATTTGCTTCATATATATAAAGTATTTTTAATACAGATTATTCTAACAGTGTGATTTTAGAAGAATTGAACCTTTGTTTTAAAAATGAATTCACACTCTACTCATATATACCTATATACAAGAGATAAAGAAAGGAATATTATTTTAAAAACTCATTTTGACCATAAAAAGAAATTATTTTTATTTATTATTATATTTATTTTTTTTTTGTACAAATTTAAATATTCTATATAATAATAAATAAATATTAATTAAATATTTTTAATTGTAAAGAAAAATATAATTTTTGATAGTTGACGAATTCATTATAACAGTAGATAAGAATGAAACTTATAATATATGATAATCGTGTGTAGTAAATGACGAATGTTTATTTAACGTTTTGCATACTGCCAAAAATAAATCAGAAATTTCTGGTACAAAAAAATTTATTTTTTTTTATATGATTCTATCAAATTGTAAATTCGAATAGATACTCTTAATTTTAATTAGTGAAAATTCGTTTAGTAATTTAAATTAGCGAAAATTTCTACTAATTTTTAATTCTTTTTCAACTAAAATCTAAGTAAAAAAAATATTACTAAAATATTTAGTAATATTTAACTGAAAATTAGTAAAAATTTCTACTAATTTTTAGTCATTTTTCACTAAAACTTCAGTTAAAAAAAATATTACTAGATCAAATAGATCAAATTTTACTAAAAATTATTGTATAATTTTTACACGGAGAAAAAGAAAAAGTAATTTTTACTACTTTCAGAGTAAAACTGGACCAACTCGAAGTTTCTGCGCATCTCTGGCAATTTTTACTCCAAAAATAGTAAAATTTATTATTTCTGTGGTAAATTTTACTGTTTCCGTAGTAAGTTTTACTATTTCTAGAGTAAATTTTACTATTTTTGGAGTAAAAATTGCCAGAGATGCGCAGAAACTTCGAGTTGGTCCAGTTTTACTCTGAAAGTAGTAAAAGTTACTTTATAAAAGAAATCTTTTTTCTCCGTGTACTAATTTTTAGTGCTTTTTCTTATTAAAACTTTAGTAAAATTAATATTACCTACTACAATATTTAGTAAAAAAAATATTACTAAAATATTCAGTAATATTTATATTTAGTAATGTTTAGTAATATTTTACTAAAAAATTAATGAAAGTTTCTACTAATTTTTAGTTGTTTTTATTAAAACTTTAATAAAAAAAAGAAAATTACTAAATCAAATAGTATCTAATATTTTACTAAAAAGAAATAAAAATTTCTACTCTCTAAATCTGAATTAGTAAAAAAGTTTACTAATTTGAATTATTGACTCACTTTTTGCTTCTCAATTAGTAAAAAGTGAGTCACTAATTTAAATTAGTAAACATTTTTACAAATTCAGATTTAGAGAGTACTAATTTGAATTACTGAACTAATTCTTACTAATTCAAATTTAGAAATTATTAAAGGTGCAACATTGACAATGTTTAAAAATTGGACCACTAAAATCATTTGTTGGTCAATGAAAAAAAAAATTTATTTGATTCAAATATTCGGTTACTTTACAATTATCAAATAAATAAAATAATAATAACAAAATAAATATTTATAATAATAATAATAATAATAATAATAATAATAATAAATAAAATTATTTAAACCAATAATTTTTGTATTTGTAACAAATAAAATGTAATTTTTTAACCAGATAACTAAATTAATTAAAGATAAATTAAGTTCTACTTACACTGAAAAAAAATTTATTTGATTCAAATACTCGATTACTTGACTATTATCAAATAAATATTTACTTGAACCAAATAATTTATATTTAAATTAAATAAATTCTATTTGAGTTATTTAAATATAGTATTTGTTTTAAATACAGAAATTATTGGTTCAAATAGAATTTAATTTAATTTAAATATAAATAATTTGGTTAAAGTAAATATTTATTTGATAATAGTCAAGTAATCGAGTATTTGAATCAAATAAATTTTTTTTTTCTGTGATAACTATAAAACTTTTTTTCAGTGATTTTGTTTGGTTTAACTCAAGACTACAAACTTGCACCGAAAGAAAATATTCTGAAATTTAGAATATATACTTGGCATCTATTTTAGAATATTTTTTATACTTAAAGTCAGTATGTAATATTCTTAAAATTAGAATATATCCTTAGTATTTAGAATATATTCTTAGCATTTAGAATTTGTAATTACTAATAAGAATACATTCTAATTTTAAGAATATTACAAATATTGAATTTAAGTATAAAATATTCTAAAGTAGGTGCCAAGTATATATATTCTAAATTTCAGAATTTTTTTTCGGTGTAATATTAATAAATAATATAAATATCTATGACTTTAGTTTAAAAATATTCGTTTTGAATAATATATTTTTAATTCAAAAATTTATTCTATTTTGGTTAAGTAAAAAATATATTTAAAAATTTTATATGTTTCATTTAACCCTCTGTTCGACACTTGGGTCCAGTCAGACCCTTTTCGTTTTTAAACGTTAATGAAATATAATAATACAGAGTGATTTTTAAGTTCCGGACCCCCTAAAATTTTTTTTTAATCTCATTTTTTTCGATCTTTAAACAAAAAAGTGGAATTAAAAAAAATTTTTAAGGGATCTGGAACATAAAAATCACCCTATATAATATTTAAATAAAATCATATTTCATTAACGTTTAAAAACGAAAATGGCCTGAATGGACCCGAGTGTAGGACAGAGGATTATAAATAAAATTAAAAATATTATTTAAATCAACGAAAAAATATGTTTGAACCGGAAATATCTTTCTCCCATAGTGTGCGAATTCATGTTTAAAAATAATGAAAATTACTTCTGTAACATTTTGTTGATTATTTCATCAGTTGTGTGAAGTAGAAGTAGAAATTGTAATAGTAGTGGTAGTAGTAACAGTTATAGCTACAATTTTAGAGTATTCGCAATTTCACCATTAAAAGTAAAAGTGATGCGTATTTCTTACCTTCGATTTTGTAAAAGGCATCACACAAAGTGGCCATGGTTGCATCATTTGCCTTCTCTGTGATGAGGACATTGTCACCTATTATTTTTTTTGACTTTCGTTATCACTATATTTGAATTTAAATTTAAATTTGCAATTTAACAAAAATTCTCTATTCAATGTAAAAGCCGTCTTGTCAATGAAAAATTTAAAACACGTTTTTATAGTTTTTAAAAAAATTGTACGAATGCCGGCACACGTGGTTATGTTGTGACAGTCGAGGGGAAAAAGCAGCAAGTGTACGCAGTGCCGTTGCCTAATATTAGGAGAAATGCGCGCCTCCTATTGGCAAATATTGTTTTGCACAAATTTTCCTTTTGACCTTTGCGCGCTTTCAAAAATTATTATATAAATCCGTTTTGTTTCTTTCAACCCCTAATATTTTTTTTTTGCCACTTTATAAAATCCTTTTTTTTATTTTTGAAAAAAAAAAACGTAAAAATTTTTTCACACGACACTTGTGGATTTAACCGCAGTTTATATTGTAACTTGGTTTTCGCGATTATAGGAAAAATGTATTTCGCTTTATATATGTTTGGCAAGTTTGTTAATCAGATTGTGGGGTTTGTCTTTTATATATACACTGTTGAGACCTGGAAGCACCGCCTCCTTCTGGCCACCAACTCTGGACTTTGTCGAAGAAGGGGAAGCTCGCGGTTAGTTGCGCGAATTGATCTCAGATTGAAAAAGACCCAGACCAGGAGGCATATATAAATGTGCGGTTCATTGTCGGTCGTTCTAATGGTACGATGATCCTTAGAAAAAAAGATTCATAAATCTAATCGGATTTTACTATAATTTTCAATGTCAATTTTTTTTTTTTTTTCTATATTACCTTTTCAATTTTGATATCATTATATAGTCGCATTAAATAACAATTGATTACGAGAAATTTATGTACTTTACTCCATTTGGAGAATTATATCACATGTATAATTGCGTGTGTCATTACGCATTGTTTGACTCATATATATATATCTATATGTGTATTGTGCTTGATAAGTTCATTTACTTTAGTTTTTTTTTTGCGTTTTTTTTTTTATTATTATTTTTAAATGTACTTTCTTTTTTAGTATTCTATTTTTCTTTTTTACTCAAGTTTTTTTTTTATTATTTTTCTTTTTTTCAGTGTACTTTCTTCTTTGGTATTCTATTCTTCTATTTGGCTCAAGTTTTTTTTTTCTTTTTGAATTTTGAAAATTGTAATAAAAAGAAGATCCAATTTTATTAATATTTATCTTGATTTTTTTTGTTCTAATATTTCTGTTGTCATTTTAGAATCAGATTATGAAATATTTTTACGCATCATTTTTTTTTTAAATTACTACTTCTACTACTATTATACAAAATATGCACTGAAAAAATTATATTCTACATTTAAGAATATCTTGGCGTCTATTTAAGAATATTTCCCATGCATTTTATTCTTACAGTTAGAAAAGAAACATTTCTTAAATTAAGAATATTTTCTTTTGTCCGTAAAATAAAAAAAAATTTTTTTGTCTTAATCGAAGAATTGTTTTTTATTTTAAGAATATTATATTCTAACTGTAAGAATAAAATGCATGCAAACTAATTTTTTGCATAGTTAAATTTTACTATAAACAATTGTTAAAAAAAATTGGATTTTCTTATTCATTGTATGGTACCTAAGACGCGGGGTTATTTTGCTCATTGCGGGTAAATTCGCTCACCATATTATCTGCTTCAAATTATCTTTAAAATAAATTTTGATACTTCTATGAACAAATTCAACTTGGTAATAAGAGTATCAAATTTTATTTTAAAGCTATATTTTAAAGCAGATAACTTGGTGAGTAAATTTGCCCGCAATGAGCGAAATAACCTCGTCTTACGGTATTGACGAAATTTTAATCAGTGAAAAATTTTTTTTTTACCAAAACTTTAGTAATAAAAACTATTACTAAACTATTTAGTTAATAATTAATAGATTGAAAAAAATATTATGACGCTGAAGTTACCAACGTTGATTCGACGAATCGACGAACGAATTTTTCGTTTTCAGATTAGTTTAAAGGCCAAGAACCAATTTTTTAAAATTGAAACTTCTTTATTTTGGTCCCGAATACATCTTTAAATACTAAAAATCCTCAATTAAGGCGGGGAAATCTTCAATCTTAGGAAAAAAAAAATTCTTTTCGTCGATTCAACGTTGGTAACTTCAGTGTCATAAAATATTTCGTTCATTTGAACGTTCAGAATTTTTTGGCTCATTGACCAGTCAGAACTTCAGGTACATAATGAACTTTTTACGATTCAAAATTAAAGTCACCTTTTTTATTTGTATTATTTAAAATTTAAATTTTTTTAAAATTAGTTAATCACAATTATTTTATTATGAATTCAAATTTCGCGCGCAAAATCTAAATGGCGCCATCTGTATCTGTAATACCGACTGTACTTAGATTGGAAACTCATATTATGTAAAATTCGGTCAAATATGTGACTTATCAGTTTTATTAGAATACTTCTTTGAAGTAGAATTTTTAGCAAATTGAAAAAGTAGCAAAGAAAAGGAGGCAAAAATTTAAATAAATTAAAAATATCAAAGGAAAATTTTCTTCCTAGCAAAAATGAGACAAGTTTTTAATACATATAAATATATGTTTATGAGACAATGCTCATTGCCTGATTGACTATGTATATAATAGAAACTGGTATTGATCTTGTATTATTATTAACCGTTTAAAGCGCATATTGAGTGGAAAATTTCCATTTTTTAAGGGAGATGAATCCTTATTTTTATATTTTGTATATAAATATATAAATTATATATAAAACTATCTAAATATAAATTAGTAAAATTTTTCAACTAATTAAAAATTACTGACTTATTATTTGCTTTTTGAATTAGTAAAATTTTAACTAATTAATAGAGCAAAAAAAAAAATTTTACTATCGAATTTGTAAAATTTCATTAATTTAAATTAGTTAAAAATTTCTAATAATTCAAATTTATTTGAATTTTGCCAATAATAATCAATGCTCTTGACATTCTTTGCACTTCCTTAACTTTCTGGAGCATTAAATAATAAAATTTTGTAATCCTATCATAGCCTGCCTACATTTCTTTTAGGACATCGAATTTTTTATTTTCTTTATCTTATGTTATATATATATAAATATATTCTTATATATACAGGAAATATTGTTAGAAAAAAAGATGTATTATTATATAGAGTGTCTTCCTCGTGGAATATTCGAGACGTTCGACCTCGATCGAGATTGTCTGTAACCAGTTCGAAGTTAGTTTGTGTTTAGTTGCACGTATTCGATGCTTCTCTATAGTGAGAATTTCTTTCCCTTCTTTGCTCCTTTGACTTTCTTCTTCTCTTGTTGCACCGAGTTACGCATAAACATTCAACAAGTTATAATATATATATATAAACTTGAAAGACTCACGCGAGGCTATTATATATTTTGTGGAAGATTTTGCATCAGCTGATTTCTATTTCGAGTCTTTGTAACGATTCATTATTTGAGAAAAATCATATTTTCTACTATTACTAATTTATTTTCATACACTGAAAAAAAATTCTAGTTAGAATAACCAGAATTCTGGTTAGGGTATATTTAACATTTTGATTCTGGTTATGTTAATCAGAATTCTGGTTATTTTAACGAGAATTCTAGTTAATTCAACTAGAATTCTGGTTAACATAACTAGAAAGTAATGTTAAATATAGCCTAACCAGAATTTTTTTTCAGTGTAATATATTATTAGAAAAAAGAATTCTTTATTTAAATGTATAGAGATTAATTCAAAAATATAATTTGCTTCAAAATAAGGAAAACTCTGTTTTTGTATACTATTTAGTCATATGAACGTATTAGTTTCTAACCAAATAATACCAAAAATTAATATGGTTCACATTAATTTTCAGTAATATTTGATCAGAAACTAGTACGTTCATACAACTAAATAGTACAAGAACAGAATTTTCCTCATTTTTAAACAAATTATATTAATTTTTAAAAAAACAGTCTTTTAGTCTATCACATTTATTTAAAAATATTATTTGTTTGAATGAAAATAATTTTCTAATTTGATTAAAATTTAAGGGTTAGGTTAGAATGGGCGCATGTAAATTTATACTGCAATTCCTGTAGAACGTCCGAAATATGACAGATCTTATTTACATTTTTGACAACTGCCTCACCCTGCTTTTCTCTATATTCTAGTTCCCAGCCATGTATCGAAAAAAAGCTACAATTCTCTGCAAAGTGTCACATTTCAGATGTTCCACTGATTATTTTCTATTTATGGGCCAACGTAGAATAAAATCTCTAATCGTAAATCTTAAGCTTTTACATGAGAGAGAAAAGGACAAAAGATATTGCTATCCTTTTCTCTCTCATGTAAAAGTTTAAGATTTACGATTAGAGATTTCATTCTGCTTAGGCCTTATCGTTAATAAGATTTTGACATGATTCTTAACCTAAAAAATTATTTTTCATGTATCGTTCGTAGATCATTTTAAGTTCAAGTTTATTATTTGGGATAAAAATGTAATTTTTTTTTTATATTTTCCTCAATATTTTACTTTATAAAAAACTTAACCTCAAAAATTTTGGTTTATTGATTACAAATTTTTTTAAATATGAAGAAATTATTAAATTAATTAGGTACATATTATAAATGCAACTTTTTTTTGTACATTAAATCTGAATAATAAAATACATACAAATAAATATTTATTTGATAATAATCTAGTAACCGATTATTTGAATCAAATAAATTTTTTTTTTCAACGTAACTAAATTTGTAAATTAATATATTTTTTTTCTAAATTGTATTTTTTAATAAAGTCGAAAAATTAATATTGAAAACCTAAAACAAGGAAAATTTAACCTCCCTTTTAATTCAAATTTTTTTTTTTTATTTTTGGTCTAATAATGTAAGAAACTTATTTTGATCACATGAGAAAAGAAAAATGATTTTATATTAAAAATTAATTAATTTTATTTGAAATTTTTTTATGATTTGAAAAATTCTGATCCACCTTGAAAGAGGATTTATTTTACAAGATTTTAATATAGAATAATTATTCTTCGACTCTAAAAGTTCGATACACTTATATAGTATACATGAAACTTGCTTTTTATTATTACTATTTCTGGTCAATTTTTATTATTTTTAGGACCGGTTGATTCACATGTTGCTAAATTTATCTTTGGAATATATTAACAGGTGGATTAACTGGACCTTTCTTTTTTTTCCTATTTTTCTTGCCTCTTTTGTCACAATATGCGATGGAAAATTTTATTCTTTATGTCATCTTTTTTTTTTACCAATGTGTGTGTATATATAAGAAAACTGGTTTTTCGATTATAAATATATAATTAATGAATTATTGAATTATTGAATTATTAATTATTATTACATATATATACATCTAGTGGAAATTATTTCAATGTCATTGAAATTTAAAGTCTCTAAATACCTTTTCTGCCATTTCCACAACTTCTTCCATGTTTTATTATATATATAAATATAAAGTTGCACACGAAAAACTCTCTATAAAACACTGAAAAATACAACTA